GCGTTTTGATAGAAACATGTACAATAATCTAACCTTAAGTTATACCATCACAACAAGCTAATCAATAACCACACAAAAATGAGATTCCAAAATCATGATGACGATAAGCTCTGAAGCCACTTTCGAAGCTTTCTATATCTAATAAACTTACCACATCTGGATGGTTGGGTAAATCTGATGGAAAACACCAAACCGTTAATAAGACATTAGCGAGCACAAGAATCAGAAATTTACACCACATTTTTTGAAATTATTTCCACATAATACACTAAAGTTTATGAAGTGTCGATATTTATATGTCTACGTTAACCTAATGAGCATTGAATGGACTCTTCGTTTAATCGATGTTTAAGTACATCCTTGCTTTCTATATACTAGATTACCAGGTATCCCGTCTAATTAAGATAAAGCTATAATACCTGTTATGCATCTTTTTTCGTTTCCAAGTACCTACCTGATTCAAATTCTCCAGAGTTGTTATATACTTTTTATGCCTACATAAACATACAATAGCAACATAATTAGAGATAAGGTAATATGTGATGAGATTATCTTCGCGCCGATCTGAAAATTGGCTATAGGCCAAACTACATATAAAAATTGCCCCCAAAGGGATCCAAATTATGATTTTGGGTCAAATCACTTTAGCCAAAATTTCAGATGGATAGGTTGCTTCTAACCTCGTGTGTTCTCGAACATAATTTTGCGCAATTTTGCTCAAAAAATTAAGAAGAAACTACCGCCGCTACCTTATTATATCCTACATAACCGTGATTTCTTATAGATATGTGCAACGTATAGGTTCGGCAAAAAAAATTGAAATTATTTTTAGAATTTTTTGTTAGGTGTTGAAAATGTAACAAACTTAAAAATTCACTGTATGTGCGTGCTTCTTTGCGCTATTTTCAAGTCCACTAACGAAATCATAAGTTTTTGCTCAGAAAATTGCCAAAACTCGGAAAAACCGCATTTTTACCAGTTTTCTCCAATTTTTGACATTTTAAACGTAGGGTATCATAAGTTGGTTAACTTAAAAACACGACATATATACGTATTTCTGTACATTCTTCAAAATTCCACAATCAAAATGTTCATGTTTGCAAAAATTGCAAAAATAGGAAAAACTACGTTTTCATTGATTTTCCTCGATTTTTGACGCTTTTATCGGGATAGGAATAGCTTGCTAACTTTGAAACCCATTACATATAGGCACGCATTTTTTTTTCTTCAGTTAAGTTGTTAAAATAATTATTTCTTGGCCCGAAAATTGGCAAGAATCGGAAAAAATTGTAGAACCTCAGCGAAGTGGATGTGTTTCCTATTTTTGCAATTTTTGGACAACAAATCTCAATTTTTCCAATGAAACCTTGACGAACATACGAAAATACGTAGGTGCATTGAGCTTTTTGGTTAGTCGATTTATGATACCCTACTCTAAAAATACCTAAAATTGGAATAACCGGTGATAATGCGGTTTTTTTGATTTGCTCCGAATTTTCTGAATTAATAATCCGTTTTTTCAACAAGGGACCTAAGAAGCCAATTTTTTCATTCCGTCAAGCGTCAAGAATTGAAGAATATCAGTGAAAATGCGGTATTTCCTATTTTTGCGATTT